CTAATAATCGGCCACTTATAGCCATTGGCGCTGTTTATTGGCATGAATTTTGCCAAATATTTAATGTCTGGTTATAGTAATTGTATGTTTAACACGTGAATGACGGCGTGACATAATTTTTAAATAGTTTCTCAATTAATTATTTAATATTATTTTTGATTCATAATATCAATTTAATATTAAAATTTTAAAAATAAGTTTTATTATGAATATTGTAAGTTGGCAAATATATTTAATTATTAAAATATAGTTTACTTAATAAGATTAATAGAAAATAATTAATTATTGTGCTGTTTTTACATTAGTGGTAGATTAGTTAATTTATTTGTTTGTAAATATTATTTTATGTTTTTATAATAAATATTTGATTTGATAAACAAAAATATTTGTCAATTTATATACAAAATATTTAGTATTATGAAATTTATGGCAAAGCATAATATTTATATTTAATGTTACTTAGTTAATATTATTTTGAGTGCTTAATTAATTAAGTTATAATAAATTTTATTCAATGTTATAATAGTGTTTAATAAGATTAAAATAGTTTTTTAATATGTTTTAAGTTTTTATTAAATTTAAATCCAGTTTCCACTATCAATGACAAAAATTTTTACTTGATTTTTGCTAAAGAATTTTTATGCGAATAATTAAATTTATGATTAAAACATACAATTTTCGAGAGAGAGAGAGAGAGAGTGAGAGAGAGAGAGTGAGTGAGTGAGTGAGTGAGTGAGTGAGTGAGAGAGAGAGACTTCAAACTTGAAATTTTGAAACGAAAACAAAACAAAATATTGTAAAACATTTTAAAACATTCAAGGATTTATAAGAACTTTATTTGAATATAATATTTCAAAAAGATAATAATTTATTAATCCAAAGAATAAAGCTTTTTGTTTAAACAAAAATTTAAAAGTGATTACTAAATAATCACATAAGAAAGTGATTTTGTAATTTATAATTTGGTACAAAAATTTCAATATTAATTAATTTCAACATTAATTCATTTCCTTGTTTCACAAATATATCCAAAAAAAACTAAATTTAAAGATTACATGGAATTCTGGGCAAAACCATTAAGAATTTGCATACAAATCAATTAATAAGCACAGGGAGGGGGAAGGGAAGGGTAGCTTTCGTTAAATATATCTGACATATAATTTATATTTCATTATTATATTCGCATAAAAAGTGGCGAAAATAATGCCTTAATGTCTGATGGGAGACAACAATAGCCTTCAAAAACACATAGAAATCTGTATTTAAAGTAATAGTAATTAATTTAAGTATGAATAAGACTTGAGCCTAAACTTGACATTCAATGTGTAGATTAATGTAAATTGTATTTAGGTTTTCAAACAAAACATACTCTCCCTCCGAGTCCTATCATATCCTTAAGGCTTTCTCTGGATATCTTAGTGGTGAATGTCATTGAATATATTGAGTATAAAAAGTATAAAAAACCTCTGAATTCAATCACTTTTGTTGAAATTTGTTGCAAATATGAGGCTATTGTATACATTACTCGCTATTTGTGTGTTTGTGGTGTCGATAGTCAGCGGTCAGTGGCTCTACGGTAGAGGTGGTTATGGCCGGGGATATGGTGGTGGATATGGTGGTTATGGTGGCCGATCGGGTATGGGATTCAGTGGAAATGGTGGCATTGGTACGTGTTTTGTAAATTGAAAAAATTGTGCTAAATTAGTGTAAAATGCTAGTTAATATTTTAGTAGAAATTATTGTTCAAGTTATATATTTATAATTGAGTGAGTTTTTAAAAATTAATTTAAAATATAATTAATATTTTTTAAAGGCATTCGTCAATCGGGTGCTACTCTGGGAAACTTGGGAGGAATAGGAGGTTATTACGGATGAGTGTAATGACTGATAACGTGACATAACTTATAGAAACTGAAAGTTTTATCATCGAAAACAACATAATTTTACGCAAAGTTTGTTTATATTTTATATATACCTGTAAGTTATGATTAAAGTGTTTACCAAATATTTTTGTCATTTGAAGATCAAGTATTTGACATAAAAAATCAATTATAAATAAAATAAACTAATGTTATTTATAAATTATAATTATAAGTACAGTAAAACTTTTATTTGTCAAAATTTGTATATTTCATACCAATAACATCATTAAAAATTCATATATTTTTCGAGCATTATATTCATACCTTGTTATTATCGATATTTTTGACTAAAAAAATATGTTTTCACAAAAAATCAATGTTTTAAAAGTAAAAACCCAACTATTGTTTAGAAACCAATTGTATGAACACATAGCTTCATCCAGTTTGATCCAGAAATAGCCACACTACACAA